CTGTTCTGAGTATCATCATGAACTCTCTCGCCATCCCGCTATGTTCCACCTGGGAGGTGGACGCTCCCCACCCATTAGTCACTCAGTAGCCATCTTATCAGATCAGCAGTCCTGGTGTTGCAGTGCTTGTGGTCGTCACCCTAATTTTATTCAGTAATGCCACACTCACATAACTTTTATAGCAGCAGATTATTATAATTGTTCTATTATATTACTAGTTATTGTTTTTAACTTCTTACTGTGCCTAATCTGTAACTTCAACTCAATCATACGGTATAGGAAAACCACAGTATCTATAGGATGTGGTACTATCTGAGGTCTCAGACATTCCCTTGGGTGTCTTAGAACATATCCCCCTGGAAGAAGGAGGGACTAAGTACTCAGAAAGTTAGAGTATGATTCAAATGAGTTCAATGTCAAGTGTTCACAACAGTGACTGGTTCTGGCTGTTTTCAACATTAGGTATTTATATCTTAATCATAACTAATGTCCAGTCCACAATGTTAATTTCTGGCATATTTTTTCTTCTATACACCATTTGAGAGAAGTGACCCTTTTTCCTTTGAGCATTCCAAGCCTAAAATAGTGCATGGTACTCAGTATTTGTGGCATACATTTCAGAAGCCCCAAGCCAAAGCAAGAATGGGGAGTGGTCCTCTTTCTCCAGGAAGACTTGTAAAAGCCCTCAGAGGGGAGGGAAAGTAGCAAGAAATGTCGTTGCAGAGGGAGGGACACGTGGTTTGTGCAGAGTTATATTCCCCTGTGCCCGGATACTGAGCTCATTGTAGCCACTCAACAAATATATGTGAATCAGAGAAAATGGAAGTTATAAAATCTGAGATTTAGAAGTGGAATAAAAGACTTTTTTTCTTCTTTTTAAAGGTCCAAAAATAAAAATTATAGAAGTGATACCGTATGCCATTTATGTATATAAATTGCTCAAATTTAAAGAAAGTGAAGTTTGCAAACCAAGATATCCAAGGAATCTCTTCTCATTGTGACCCAATTTTTTCTATTAAAGGACTGAGAAAATATGAAGGCATGTTTTTTATATATCAGTATTTTATGCCTTCAGAGTCTAGGAGATATTTCATTATTGGAATATGAAGGTTTAAAGTATGGGAAATCAATTTATCTATACTAGTATATATAAAAGCCTAAGCGACTGGATGACCAGATGGTAGCTATGATGTGCACTGACCACCAGGGGACAGACGCTCAATGCAGGAGCTACCCCTGGTGGTCAGTGTGCTCCCACAGCTGAAGCACCACTCAGCTGACAGATGCCGGGTTCACAGCTGGCGAGCGCAGCTGTGGTGGTGCAAGTCTCTCTCGTGGACACTTCCCCTGCGCACCCAGTGGGTGAGGACAGTGGGCTGGAGCCCAATGAGCTGGCAGACAAGGCCAGGCCACAGCAGCATGGAGGTCCACTGATCCCCACAGGCCAGGCCAAGGGACCCCACCGGTACACGATTCCGTGCACCAGGCCTCTCGTTTGTACATAACACATAATTACTTAAGAAATTTGACTAAATTCCACATTTCTTACAGTTTTACTCATATATCCCATATAGGAGTTATACAAACACACAACGTATTTGAAACAAGAGCTCATTATATCAACTACTTAACTCTGAAAAATCACCTCCTAAAAATTATCAAAATCAAGCTTTGTCAAGTGTTTAAAATGCAAGGTTAGAAAACCTTATGGAAGAGGTTTGTGTTTTGCTTACGTGTCTCTTTGAAAACACAAATTTCTAGCAAAGTAAGTTTTTAAATCTGCAAAGTTAATTCACCATTTATTTTTTGTTGGGATTCAGAAATACAAGGTATGAAAATTAGGTTACAATTCTGGCGCAAAAACTTCCAAAGTAGCAAATACAAGATCTTGGATATATCAAAATAGCCCTGTGCATTCTTGAGTCACCAGAGTCCTGGCCGGGTGGTTCAGTTGGAGAAACACCATCCCATACACTAAAATATTGCAGGTTCTATCAGGGTGTGTGTGGGAAGCAACTGGTCAATGTTTCTCTCTCTCTCTCCCCCTAAAATCAATAAAAACATATCCTCAGGTGAGGATTTTATAAATAAAACTAGAGAAATAAAAAACATATTTAGAGTTGTGACATCAAAATGGCTATTGTAAAATGGCCATTATCTTCCCTACAAAATATCAAATCTTCCATGACTGCACTGAACTAAAAGAGATTTAGTCTAGAAAATGGAAGGTTATAATTAGTAGGTACTTTTTAAAGCTGAGTTAGTAAGCACTAAAATAAATAAGAAAGATACAAAGCATCTTACGTCAAAAAGTATGAATATCTAAGTGTCCTCTAGTGAGTAAGACAAGATTAAAATAGAATATGATGTAATAAAATTAACTCTGTTAATGATATAGTTCAGTAAAAAAAAAAATTACTATAGTTTCGACTTCTTCTAGAAAAACAATGACATACAATTCTTTGAATCTTGAATTGAAGCAAAACTGCTACCGAAATGCTTTTGTCATCTGAATATTGGAAGCAGTCTCTCAAAGTTTCACTTTGATATATGGTTTAACAGAACCAAATAAAGATTTATAACTCAACACGAGTTATCACTGTAAAGAGGCCATCGTTAACATTGTTTTCTTCTCTTTTCAGCTATGAAAATTAAATTTAAAAATAGAGAAAAGAACAATTTGCTTGACTTTTGTTTTTGTAAAAAAAAAAAAAAGGTGCTCTCCCTCCAGGGAGCACGCCCATGCCTTTTCCTTTCTCTCCCCCAACCCCTCACCCAGGCACCTTACCATTAGCTTCCTCACTCCCAAGCTCCAAGAGCCCTTCTTTTACCTCTATAACTTGTTTCCTAAGAGGAATTACTTTTCTACCTCAGTAATTTACCCAATAAGTATTTTCTTAGTTTGAAAAAAAAAGTATTTTTATACCTTTTTCAATTATGAAAGGCCCTTGTACACATTTTTAGAATTTCTATGGCTGAATGAGGTTAAACATTTAAAAATACATATACTCGCAAATATTATAATAAAACTGCAACCAACCTAGCAGAGGCAGGCACTTCAGAACTGAAACTCGCATAATGAGCTGCCGCTGGTCAGAGAGAACAAACATTTCAACAGAATTATAATTAAAGTCCTGCCACAGGTAAGACTTATCCACTTCTAGATACAATAGAAAGCGCTGAGTCAATGTGATCCCTTAAAAAAAAAAAAAAAAAAAAGGGCTGTATAAAAAAAGTTGTACAAGAATTGAGCCAAAAAGATTAAAAAATAGAATTTGCTTCGTGATATTTTCATGTTTTGGGTGAAGTCAGACCTTTGCTGTGACGCTGCTTACATGTCCACAGTCCTTTCAAATCCCTTCAGGCCATATGTGTTTCAGAATTCACAATTCTTCACATTGTGAACAGGTAAGATAGGGCATATGCTGGATGTTATGAAACATTTGCACAGAATCTGGGGCAATCCCTTTAATCAAACCCATGGTCATTCTTTAGGCAAAATTAACAAAATCCATGAAGTGGTATGAATACAAATTATAACAATCTCAGGTCGGTTCACGTTAGGTCTTACTATCAAATTATGGGACCAAATTGAGAAAGTTAAGAAAAGCAACTTCATTTTCAAAGCTTTTTGGGTAAGGACTGTGACGTCTCTGGCGTCATGATCTCCTCTCATCTGCTCTTGTGCCTGAGCTTCACTGGGGTGGGGACATCATCTCCCACCACAGACAGGGGCTTACATCAGTCCAGGCGGTGGATCACCTGCGGTCACAGTACTGTCTATGAGGACACCTTGAGAAATGAATACTGAAATAATGACTATTATTTACTTTTATTAAATGAGGTACCATCTTGGGCTAGATTTCCACATAGACCAGCAGAAGGTGCCAACATGTGAGGAACATTTATGAGAAAAGAAGAAAACTGAGAAAAATGCAGATTCGAATGTAACTGTTTTCTTTACATTAGGAAAATCCAGCTCTTACTCCATTTCAGAGTCTGCACAATATGACTCCAGTTTGCAGGCGATGGCTACTTAAGACTGGAAGATTCCCGACCCCACAGGGTCAACCAACCCCCATCAACTGCACTGAAATCATCCCAAGCAACGTATCCATTAAATAGTAATTCCTTTTGTCTTTTATAGTATCCATTAAATAGTAATTCCTTTGTCTTCTCACATCTTGATTAATAAGACCCCATGGATTAGAGCCATTAAACATGTTACTTTTTAAAAAAAATCCTCACCTGAGGACATGTTTGGAGAGAGGAAAGAAATCAAACCTACAACCCAGGCATGTGCCCTGACTGAGAATCGAACCAGCAACTTTTTGGTGCACAGGGCAGACCAACGCCCAACCAACTGAGCCACTCTGGCCAGGCAAACATCTTACTTTTAAAAAATCAAGTCAAGAGGTTCAAAATCTCAAGAGCAAAAAAAAAAAAAGGCTTTGCTATTATTTTTAGGTCTTTAATCTTTTGCAGAGTTTTTGTGTTGTTTTTTTTAACAATAAAAATGCTTTCCCCATCAAAAGCAGTGGTCTGTTCTCACCCAAGTGAGCTGGAATGTGCTCTGAACACGCATACTGACTGCAAGGAGGGGGTGTCACGACACGATGAAGGTGACTGTCCTTTATCACAGGAGCACAATGACAGGATGAAGCAGGTCACACTGGCTAAGACTCCTCATAGGCACTTACTGTGGACATCCACTGAGTGGACAACACACCCGTGGTCTGGAAACAGCATTCACAGGGCAGGAGTTTCCAGAGCTGAACCGTGCGAGTGGTGACGGCGCTTCCTGAACATGTCCTTCCAAGAGAATGTCCTCAGGGTCGGTGCTGGTCCCAGAAAGAATGGGGTGGACATTTTATTTCAAAAACAAGTATCTTCAAAATCAGCTTTGTTGTCCAACTTTTTTTTCTTAATGAGTGAAATTTAAATATGCTATCACCAACCTTTCCTAAAAGCTACATATATACTACAAGACAAATGTCACACATGGTTTTTCTCTTTGTTTTAATTCATGAATGAATTCAAAAAGTCAAGTCAAAAAATTTTAACAGGTCTTTTTTTTTACAAAAATATTAGAGGAGTATAAGCAAAACTGGAAAGGAAGAGATGAGCAGGATAAACGACAATGGAATGAAACTTCACTCATCATGGCTAGTGAAAAAAATTGTAAACGTTTAAGCTTCTAAGATTTTATTTCTCTTCAAAAAACATTTTAGGAAGCTGCCTTTCCCCATGAGTGCAAAATGAGAAGCGCCCGAAGCATCTGAATCTAAAGAAGACAAGAAAGCATTATTTTTCCTACTGGAAAATGCCTACCCCCTTCCCTTCTCTTCCCTTCCCTGCCCTCTCTCATCCCCCTTGGAGTTGTACAGGATCAAAGAGCGAGAGAATCCACGAGGGTCCACCAGCAAGCAGTGTGGTGAGCCAGGGACATGATTATGCATCCAGACTCACCAGCAACATGTAAAACTCATCTTGAATAAAATACACTAAATTAAAGAGGGGGGGGAAAAAGGCCCCAGAAACCCATGACTTGCCTTTCATGAAGGTTTAAAAAGTCCTCACAGCATCTTACATGTCATGAAGTGCATTCCTGGACTCAATCTCCATGGGAGAGAAAAGAATAACTAGAGAAAATGTAAATGGCCACCTCTGGAATCCTGTTCTCCACCCAGCTCACATCTATTACTTCCCATATGGTCATCACCTCTCCACCCAGGGAATCAGATGCTCTCCAATCCCAGGTCTGCATAGTCTTAATCCTATCACATGGAGTTGAACCTCTACCCCCTCGCTTGCAGTCAGGTTGCCGAAGTCAGCTGGTCCCATCTGACATATTCAAAAGCCATACACAAGTGTCCATGGGCCAAACACTGGGTCCCATCCAGCAGCAAGCTGCTCACATTATTTAGAAATATTCTTTTTCCAAGGTTTAGGCAGTTTTGTCTGCAGTTCCATATTTGGCTCTTTCTATCATGCAGCGACGAATTATGTTGTCAAAACTTCCAAGGTAAAACAAAGAGATCATGCGGAAAAGGCCCATGGTGACCACCTGTAAGATAAAGACAGACCCGTGAGCTCAGCCAACAGTACAATACAATAGCTTGTTTCAACAGATTTTAGGATATGTCTCTAATAAATAGTTTCTGAGCCCCATCTTCTAATCTCCTGCAAGGATAAGAATAATGAACACTTTGTTAAGTGTCGGTAAACAATGAGGACAGAAGCTGTCTGCTCTGCATCACTGGATACGCAGGGCCTGCCAGATAAGTAACAACAGACTCTATGTCCAATTAACAAATTCAAATTAAACAAAGAACAAAATAGGTTTTCCCAGTAGTTTTGGGGTTCCAGTAGCTGGGGAAAATTCAGTCTAGCATCTCAGATACCCAAACTGCAATCAAGGCTTTTCAGTTGAAGATGTACGTTCTGATCACAAAGCCAGACCCTGGTCAAGTGCTGAAAACAGACACAGGCCTGCCCTCCGGAAGCTTACTCCCCAGTCGGAAAGATGGTCAGTTAGAGAAAGACAATTACTGTTTCAGGGCTAAGATGGTAAATCACCACATTTGATAACTGTCACTTTTTACTCCAAAAGACTCACTACCACCTCCTCAAAATGGAATTCTTGAAAGGCGTAAACCTGCAAAAAGAAACATTTTCAAATACACAAGGTCTCAAACAATTTCCTCCCACATGCCTTTTTTTCAAGAAGCTACCAGAAGAAGTAAACAGCCAACATGAGGGGACAACAAAGAAAGGCAAAGTCATGTGATACAAGAGGCGGGACCCCATACAAAAGACAGGCAGAGGGGTTCCCCGGGTGACCGTAAAGGGGGGAAGGGGTCAGCTATGCAGACATGGGGGCACCCAGTCCTGATGGCACGTTCCAGAAGGAATTCCTTCCAGGTGAAACTAACAGGGTAGCTGATATTTCTGAGCAAAGATAAAGACTGTCATTATTAAAAACACATTAAAATCATAGATTAAAAAACCCATAACGGTTTCAGGGAAAACAAAAGGCTGTGCAAGAAAGGGAAATTAATTATGTATATATTACACAGCTTAGCTGTGAACAGCATAAATAGCCATAAAAATGATGATCCTAATGCAGATGTAACATCACAGTCCAGGGAAAAGAAATGTATCCAGGAGAGGAGTTCAGGACAGACACAGGCGGGAGCTTTGGATCTGACATCACTTGCGTAGACATGGGAGGATGGACAGGACAGCCCACAGAGGACAAACAGAATTCACGTGTGGGCTCCACCCAGGCATTCTCGAGTCCCTGTTCCGTGCCAGGCACAGGCTGTGAGGGGGGCAATGTTCCAAGACACAAGGGCACGAGCACGTCCTCAGAGAGCTTACTTCTAATAGAGTGCCTACGTCTGAGAGGGAATCACAACATCGTGGGTATATTATAGAGAAGAGAAGGATGAGGAAAATCAATAGCTAAGTCATCCAGACTTTTAATCTGGACGTGGTCTACTGCACCTAATTTAGTCCCTTGTTATAAACTATGCATGGTTGTGGGCAGCCCCGGTCCAGGCTGCCTTCCCACCCTCTCCTTGTCCTCCATCCACCTGCCATCATCCATGGCGTTGTTTTTCCATGCTTGCTTTACACTGTAGTAGCATCACTGTGCCTATGGGTCTCTCCCTCCAGACTGTAAGTTTACACCTGATTCTCCAGCAGCAAATGCAGCACTGAGCACATCAAGGAGCAGTTGACTGTTTGCATCTTGAATGAACTACAGCATCTGTTCGGGTGGGGATTGTGTTGAATCCTTAACTTGCATCTCCCTAAGCTACCTATGGCCTGACTCACGTAGAAAAGGAGTTCTAGCCCAGCCGGCATGACTCAGTGGTTGAGTGTTGACCTATGAACCAAGAGGTCATGGTTCAATTCCGGGTCAGGGCACATGCCCGGGCTTCAGGCTTGATCCACAATGCGGGGCGTGCAGTAGGCAGCTGATCAATGATCCTCTCATCATTGATCTTTCTATCTCTCTCTGCCTCTCCCTTCCTCTCTGAAATCAATAAAAATATATTTTTTAAAAAAAGAAAAGGAGTTACAGTCTAATATCCCAATACTGTCAGGCAAGACCATTCCTAAACTACTCTAGAGAGAAGAGAATTCCATTTTCCAAACACTTCAGATCAGAGAACCCAGACTGACTCCTCCACAGCAGAGACAGCGTTTTCTCTGTATCTGCAGTGCCCAGCACAGAAGACTTCTTCCCAGTCTAAATTCTCCAAGTTAAATCTTTAAATCTTTAACCTATTTCCCAATGACTTATCCCTGGTAAAGGAAGGGAAAAGGTTGATACTTTAAGAAAATTTTTTCACATGCTCAGATCAAGTTGACAAGTCTTCCTTTATTTAGCCTTTACTCATTGAGGTTTAATGAGAGGTGTTGTCTCTCTGTCTGTCTGTCCATCTGTCTGCTGGCCGAGGCACAGCTTACCTGCTGGAGCCCTTCGGTAATAGAAGTGACTGGAGACATTCCGCAGGTCAGGGACGAGAGCATGTACCCATCTGAGCCAACGGAACTGTTAAAATTCCCTTGCTGAACAGAAGGAAGAGAAAAGAAAGAGGCAACAGGAGTTACTAATCACCTCAACATGTCAGTACAGGGAAGTGTGTCCGTTTACTTCCTGTGGGATGAGAGGGTAACAAACCACATGTTGCAGCTTAGAAACAAACGTGGTCTTAGCAGGGGGACTGAATGGCTAGATGGGAGGTTCTCAAAATGTGGGTCAGTCCATGGGCCGTGGGGGTCCATGAGGACAAAATGATTGTCATAATAATACCAGAGTGTTAATGGCCTTTTCCACTGAGTGACATTTGCAAAATGCTGCCTCATTAGTAGAAACCATATTAATAGTGGTGTCTCTCCACCACCACACACACTGGCCATAATAAATCCAAAAAGAAAATAGAAATTTTGAAAAATCCTGTAAAATGTTGAAATGTCAATTTTGCTTCAAAATGGCCTTGATAAGGCAGGAAAATGAACTGTTTTATTAAATTTCAACCCTTGAAGAAATGTCTTCTGTGTAACAAAAAGGGAAGTATGTGCCCAGCTGTGTGCCAAACCTGAGGGCCTGCTGCCCTGAAATGTAGGGCTTAAGTTGTGAAACTTGCTGCTTTTTTCATGGAATACCATTTTTACACGAAAGAACCATTATCAGACCACCTGTGGTTATTCAAGCTCAGTCTTTGGAAGATATTTTGTGGAAAATTAATGATACGGGTAGTTTTTGTGGCCAGTGCTAAAATCTGAGCTTTCCATTAAACTGTCAGCTTCCCGGTATGTGAACTTTTATAAGATCAGCAGCGACATTAACGGATGTAATTTCTTGGATAACTCAGGGAACTCATATTTTCCAAATGACTAATGCATGACATTCCCAAATCATGAATGGGTACAAAGCATTCAAAGTGCAGAGACCAATGGGTTTTAATGCAACAGAGAACAAAAAGTTCATTAATCGAGTTTCCAATTCCACACTGCAACTAACCTTTAAAGAAACTACTATTCATCCAGTTTGGGTTTAATACTAAAAAAGAATGTCCACCGTGATCTGAAAAACCTATAAAATACCCCTCCACTTCTAACTACACATGTGTGTAAGGCCAGATTTTCTTTATATCCTTCATTCAAAACCACATATGACAACAGACTGAATGTAGAAGCAGCTCTGAGAACCCAGCTGTCTTCCAGAACACAGCCATTGAAGAGACTACCGAGGTGTAAAACAAAGTCTCTCGTCTCACCAAAGGTTTGTTCTGAGAAATAATTATGGTTGTAAAGATGTTACATTAAAATGTAACGGGTTTATTACTGGTTATTTTAAATGAATTACTAAATAAATATTTTAAAAATTAGTTTCCACTTCTAATATGGCAAATATAACCGATGTAAACCAAAATTCTCTGAAGTTGTCAACCAGTTAGAGTGTAAAGGGGTTAAGAGGTGAAGAAGGTTGAACACTGCCGGCCGAAATGCATCCTGCCAAGATACAAAGAGTGTTTGAGATCATTAAAAACATAGAGTGTGTTTGCCCTGACTTAAGATAAGCAGGAAAAACAGAGTCCGAGGTGCCCTCTTTCTATGCCTCTGAGCACAGCAGGGCAAAGTTCTCCCAACGTCTGCAGGTGTTTTAATAGAGTCTGAGATTTCCCGTATTCTGCTCAGGTCGGCCCAGACATGGTGTCCTGACACATCTCATTCCAGGGGTCCCCAAGTTCCCTAAATTCAGTGTGGGTCTCAGGTTTACAGACATCCCTCATAATTGGCTGTTTTTCGGGTCACAGGAACGTTGTCAAAAGCCTGCAGCACATGCACTGTTCTACAAATCAGCCTGTGGTTTGACTTTTTTTTTTTTTAAGTTCAAATAAACTCAGTAGCCTAAATGCACATCCGCTGGGTTAACGGGGATGGCCCAGGGGCTGGCTGCACTTTCTTACTAGTGAACATTTGGGAAAAGGATTCTGGGAAGCAGGAAGGTGAAATAAAAACCCAAGAGTCTGGCAATAAGATACCTAAAATAATCTGGAACTGAAAGTCCTGTGGGAAAGAAGAAAGAAGGCCGCATGCCATGTGCAGTATAGGGAACATGTTGACACATCACAGAAAAGCCGCATTTTCTTGTTAAAGAATCAACACTCCCAGACACCCATCCTGGTCAGTCTGTCCTTAGGTTAAGATATATAATTCATTTCTAGAAGCCTACTTATTAACATGGTATCGATAATGTGTGTCAGGGGAGAAAAGCAGAGTCCCATATTAGATGTGATGAATCTGACTGACCCAAAAGACAGAATAGTTTATGTTCTGAAATAGGCCTTGGGACAAATATCTTTTCAGAAGCACTGAAGCTATTAATAAAGAAAACCAGGACAACTTACTATGGCATCTTTAACAATCTGTTTGGCCACTTGTTCTGGTGTGCAAATAGACGTGGTCTCTGAAATAAGACGGGTTTCCAAAGGCTAAAGTAGAAAAAATAGATGCATCAATACCATTAATTAAAAAATCAGTCATTCTTACACAGCCACCTCCCCTGGTTTATAAAATAATTCCAATTTTCTACCTTTGAGTAGATTCCTATTTTGAGAATTAGGTCCATCTGGATCCTAAGTCAGTTTCTACCTGGTCATTGTGTAAAATTGAGCCAGTAGCTGAACCCAGACAAGGAGGCCCTGGCCACACTCTCTGTGGGATGTGGGGGCCTCGGCTCCAATGGAGACCATCAAAGCTTGAATGAGAACAAATCACTGGTGCGAGACCAGAAACACCCCCTCCTTGAATCCTCTCTGCTGGCCAGACAGCTGACCGATGGTATTGGTGCAGAGCCTAGACTGGGTGCCCTGAGTGAGTTCGCTCTTATGACCTGCTTTCTGTTCTCCCAGGCCACTGGAGGGCTGGCACTGGGCAGAGCTGAGGTCCTTAGCAGAGACAGCAGTAGCTCTGTCCGACACCACAGCTGTTTCTCAAAGGACCTGCAGAGGAGGCAAGGAGGAGACTGGAAGATAAAATATTGTGTGCTCGTTACTGGGTGAGGGCATCAGAACCCCAAATCTTAACCCTTTGTTAAAGGTCCATCTCAATTATCACCGAGGTCAAAAAGCCTTTCCTGAACCCTTAAGGGGCAATAATTTCTCTTCCCATCTTTGAACATATCTGCCTTAATATATATTATAGCTACCTGTGTATTTACAATTTACTTCCTAAGTTCTTTGTGGATGGGATCTTCCCCACCCCCCCTTTTTTTGGTCTTCTTTATGGCACACACACACTCAAAAATTCTTTAAAGGAGAATTTCAGAAGTTTCAAAACTGAAGCCTTAAAATGCATGAAACTGTAAACTGTATTTATCATACAGGCTTAAAAGAATTAAAATTAAAACCAAAATATATATTCTTAAAATAGAAAGGCACCGCACTTCATAAAAGGCCAGCACTGAATTAAGAGAAAGACCCTTTTGAAGGTGTCATCATTCTCATTCATTCTTCCAGACCATCAGGCTGGTAAAACCACATGTGGCTGGATACACATTAGATTTGAAAGCACTATGGCGCCCCCTAAAGGGCTCACGGACCATCCCAGGACTTGATTTTCCACAAGAAGTTGGCCCAACATTTTAGTGGAGGGAAAAAAAACACCAACTTAACATCAAAATAAAGTCTTCACAGGGAAACAGGGAAATCACCTGTCAGCGTTGGCTTCACACTAAGAGACTGCTTAGCAAATGCTGCAAATCTGCTTAGCAGACTCCCTGCTTATTCTAAAACAGACGTTTGGCTTACATTTACTTCTTTGAAATAAATTCTTTAAAAGAGACAGAGCCGTAGAGAAATGAAAAAAGCTTCTAAGTCATAAACACCTTTTAGCCAATGTACGGTCTATGGAGCATAAGTGCCCATTTTTATGCCTTGCAGATTCACAGTAAACATTAATAGAAAAGGGAAGAAAAACAAGCCAGGCCAGTTCAAGGCGATAAGTTCTGATTGATTCCTTTCTTCTCCACTTTATTCATTTGCTCAGTGACTACTATGTGTCAAGGCACAGAGAAAGCTCCTTTGAACAAAATGCGAAGATCGTATTCAGCTCAGGATACGATCCTATATAAACCCAGAGTCCTATATACACTGCAAAGGCCCAGTGGTGACAAGCACCACGAAGGAATAACAAAGCCAGAGGACGCTGGCAGAGACACAGAGGGCAGGGAAGTGACCTCTGTACAGGGAAGAGAAGAAATAAGGGAGGGACATGCAGAGGGACAGCAAGAGCGAAGCCCGCAGGTGACGGCAGGCCAGGCAAGCTCACGGAACTGAACGTAAGAGGACGAGAAAATGCTGTGGCAGCCAGGTGGCCGGGTCCAGACACTGCGGGCCTGTATTAGCATCAAGGCCTTCGGAGTCTGTCCAGGCATGGTGGGAGCCATGTACCGTGCTCTCCAGTACACAGCCACTGCCAACATGCAATGTTTAACGTTAACTTTGAATTAGCTAAAATTAAATAAAATTAAAAATCAATTTCTCAATCCCACTTGCCACATTTTGGATGCTCAAGAGCCATAACGTGACTACCATATTAGAGACTGAAACATACAACATTTCCATCATTCTAGAGCATTCTATCGGACTGTGTTACCCAAGAGGTGTTTGGTCTTTTGTTTTTTGTGTGGTGTTTTTTGGTTTTTTTTCACAAGGAAATTTTAAGCAGGAGAGTGACAAGACCCAGCTTAAGTTTTAAGAAGGTCTCTATCGACTTCATGAAGAACAGATCCCAAGGGAGATGAACAGAAGCAGGCAGACCAGTTTGAAGGCTAGTAAAGTAGTTCAGGCAAAAATATCAGTGGCTGCCACTGCTAGAATGGTAATGACATGTGCAGTTAAAAGAAAAAAAATCAGGTCAGATTCTGGATATGTTCTGACCGTGGAACCAAGAGGGAGAATCAAGCTGGGATCTCATCTCCACCTGAGCAGCCGGGTGAGCGGTGGGCGCCTGGTAATGAAATGAAAATAATGAGGGGGAATCAAAAGATCCATTTTGGAAATGTTACGTCTGAGATGCCCATTAGAACTCCACAGGGACACAATGGATCAGCAACCAGGTCTTTAAGTTCAACAGAGAGAATATGGTTTTTAAAGAATATTATCTCATTAGTTAAAAATACAGGCTGTCCTTTCCTTCATACAGAAAATCTTATTAATTCAATAAGGCTTCAAAGATTATTAGCAAAACTCATGGCTTTTGAAAATATGGCTGCATTGTCCAAGATTTGGAATGGAAGATCCAGAAAGTTCAGAGGCCTCTCTAGCTAGCACATAAATTGAAAGGAACTCAATTTTCTGACCGATAAAAATGGCCTGTGGGCTAAAATGTGAAAAGAACAAATCAGAAGAGGGTTTTCCAGCGTTAAAGACTAGCATACTTACCTTTGTTTTGTTTTCTTCTGCAAACCCAGGTGTGTCTGTGTCAGGCGGGTAGGCGACGGTTACATAGACATTATATGGCTTCACCTGCATTTCAAAAACAACCATTGTTTCTTCAATAAACAAGACACAATTTCACGCCCACCTCGCCAGCTTGCATTGGGTGCCAGGCATGCATACAAAATAAATACTGCCCTGATTTTCTCAAAGGTGGCCAAGACCAACAGGTGGTTCTGCAAGAGCAGGACCACTACCCACTGAGTCGGGAAATGTTTAGAAATAAAGACAAAAAGCTCATCCTAACATCCACTCCAGAACACAGCTGGTCCCAAGGTATGGCCATTCACCTCTTTCTTCCTCTCTTCCCTCCCACTGCTGTCAGTGACAAACAGACAAAGCTAAAAGGAGACCCCCTTGGTCACCCCGCCCTCCGCATGCCTCGGTCTGCTCCTCCGCCATCAGACTGCAAATCTGTTTTCCTTCGCTGCTTCTGAAACTCTTGCTGATTTCATCAACCAAATATATTGAGGTCACTCAGATCCCTTCCAGTGCCCTTCCAGCGATACCCAGATGCAGGTCTAGAACTACATGCACCCCCTCCGCCCCTGTCAGCCCAGCCAAGCACCTCCCCTTCAGACAGCCTCATCCCTCATTTATACATAGAAACCCTTCCAGCTTCTCTTCATAGCTCCCTCCCCGACCTAGAATTCCACCTGCTCCTGGATGGTGTAGATCAGCGGTTCTCAACCTGTGGGTTGCGACCCCTTTGGGGGTCGAACGACCCTTTCACAGGGGTTGCCTAAGACCATCGGAAAACACATATATAATTACATATTGTTTTTGTGATTAATCACTATGCTTTAATTATGTTCAATTTGTAACAATGAAATTGGGGGTCACCACAACATGAGGAACTGTATTAAAGGGTCGCGGCATTAGGAAGGTTGAGAACCACTGGTGTAGATGAACACACTCTTAGGCTTGTTGACCTCACCAACATACCTCCACACTTAAACTTCCCCACTCATTAACATCCTCAAGAATTCCAGAAAGTTCTCCTGCTGGTCAGGTGGGATACAACCTTCCCAAAGCCCTGCTCCACCTAATTCTTAATGACTCTAAGGGTGATGGTTCACACCATCAAAATCTCTGCCATGACTTGTTTGCTATTGGCTCAATGTTTGGTCCCCATGAGTTGGAAGTGGGCAGGCAGCTGGTAGTGAGGTTGGCCACTGTGTGTCTTAAGGATGCTGAATAAACACAACAGGGCTGCCTAATGCAACAGCCTCCGAGAGCACCCCAGGGTCCTTCTTTTCATACAGCCCTTTTCTCCCCAGATCCCGCCGGGAGCACAGTTCTGAAGTCTGCGGGAGGAGCTATAAGCGCCCAGAGAAACCTGCAGACAGAGGGTCCTGGCCAGCCAGCCTGGAAAGGCAACCGCAGAGGTGACATCTCTGTTGTTTGGGCTCCGGTGCACCTAGGGCCTGAGAGCTCCTTCACTCCGCGCAGGCAGGGCATGTAGCTTCAAGGCCAAGCTACCTCATAAGGAGCTCTGGATTTGGGCCAGGTGGTGTGGTTGATGAGCAAGCAAGTTCTCTTCCACTTGTTTTTAAGAGAGTGACTTGAAAAACTGTCTCCCATGGCCTTACCCTCTGTTGTGCACAGACCAGAGAACACATATGCGGGATATAAAACTGAAAGCAACAAACAAGACAAACAAGCAAACAAAAATGCATCGACACAGACAACAGGACGGTGGTTACCAGAGATAAGGGGGGGGAGGGTAGCAAAGGGAAAAAGGGTCAAATATATGGTGATGGAAGAAGAGTTGACTTTGGGTGGTGAGCACACAACGATATAGATGATGTATCATAAAACTGTACACTTGAAACCTATATAATTTTATTAACCAATGTTAGCCCAATAAATTCAATAAAAAAAAGAAAAATTTTTAAAAGCCAATATGTGGTCATTAGCCCCTATAAAGGCTGATGCTTATGATTCAAATGTGGTCACTTCTGTGCTGCCCGTCTCCCCAACAATAAGGATGGTGGCGCATAAGCCAATGTAAGAGCATTTCAAAGCAGTGTTTCTCACACTCAAGGTCATGGCTATGCTCCCAAATAATTAAAACAGTGTTTCAAAACAGTGTTTCAAAATGTGGGAAGAGTGGAGTCAGAGGGACTGAGTAGGGTCACAACAAGAGATGGAAAGGAGGAGCCCTAGTTTTCTTTTATTTGGTCTCTGCTTTCCCCAAAAATTAACTTTAAAATTTTTAAATGATGTATTTGTACCTGAGACTGATTTTTTAAAAAGGTAAACAAATGCAACAAAGCAATCTTTCAAAAATTACTCATTGTACATAAAACATTTCTAAGGCCTGACTTTAGTTTTGGTGGAGTGGACAGGAAGACTTAAGAGTTAAACTAAAAAGGATTATCCAAAGTATGTAGCGTAGCGTTTGAGCAATTCTATAAGGTCTGTTTCATTCACAGAAAACACCACCACCTTGGCCACACAGATTCAATTATCCAGGTTTCAAAAACACAACACTGGAAGTTTGCAGGGAAATATTTGTTTTGAGGCATGTTCTACTATGAATAAACTTCTAGATGTGGATTACTGAACTTATTTCCCCCAAAACCTATTCTTCATGGTACAGGTTTACTTCATTTTAGATTCTGTTTACATGAGGACATTTTTAATGGAGTCCAAATACGGACAGAAGTCAAGCCGACTGGCAGGCGGAGGCCAGCTACTTGAAGCGTGTGAATCCCTCTTGTCACAAAGAGGCTGCAGGGACTCTGCACCTGCTACTGATGTTGTCCCTCTGATGTTGTCCCTCTTCTTCATGAACATCACCATTCTACTGGAAGTGAAACCAGGCCGCCCACATTATACACTTTGTCCTAAATTAGTGAAACCTGAGGTGGCTCCACAAGACATGAAAAGCCCTAACGAGCATATCTGTTATTTCCAAAATATCCCTGTCCAGGACTGAGGCCACCAGCCAGATGAATCAGGCCACTTCTGACCTGAATTACAGACACATCTTCCACTGCAGGACAGAGGCAAACACGGACCCCAAAGCATGGTCTTTGTTACTATTTCAGTACAAAATCACATGTGGCTTTGAGCAACTCCATGAACTTCTTGAAACTCAGATTTCTGATCTATAAGGTAACATCATCTGCCTCACATATTTCACAAAACTGTCATAACAGTAAAATAGTGATTCACAAAGGGACTTTTCAAAGTAAAAATTGCAAAAGGAATGCCAGTATTCTTGTTTGAAATTTCACAGTCGTATATGTCCTCTTGGCTAATCATATTATAATGACCTATTCTTTTTTTGTTATTATTAATCCTCACCCAAGGATATTTTTTCCATTGATTTTTCAGAGAGAATGGAAGGGAGGGAGAGAGAGAGAGAAACAATGTGAGAGAGAGACATTGATTGGCTGCCTCCAGCATGTGCCCCTACTGACTGGGGACCAGGCCTGCAATGGAGGTACCCTTGACTGGAATTGAACCCAGACCCTTCAGTCCATAGGCTGATGCTCTATCCATTGAGCCAAACCAGCTAGGGCAACTTGCTTAATACTCTTAATGAGAAATAGGTCAGCATGGCCCTATTAAGAGCATTAAGCAAGTTGATGAAAGTGAAATTTGGAGCTGGTTCCTTTGAGAGGAGAACAGCACAGTCTATGGGTCCCTAAGTGGCACCTCAGGATTGTCACTGACTGGACAACTCATCTACCATAATGCTCGTCCAATACCTAGGCAATGTGGCTCTCTGTCACATGCCATCAAGAGCTTTTGTAGGAATTTTCTAAATCAGGGATCAGCAAACTTGGTCTGATGATCAAATCTGGCCCTTCACCTAGTTTTATAAATAAAGTTTTATTGAAACAGAGCCACACCCATTCATTTACGCATTGCATATGGCTGCTTTCCTGCTATCAAAGGAGACTTGAGTAGTTATGACAGATACTGCCTAATTCTCAAAGGCTAGAATATTACTGTCTGGCCCATTACAAAAAAACTTTCCTTCCCCTGATCTAAGTCATTAAATGGGATTCTAAAATCACACTGTTACTAGGAGTGGGTTGGCCACAATGAATTCTCTTCTGGGTTTTAACATTATGATGTGTTATATTTCTGCATATATGGCAATAGTGAGATTTTACCTTGTCTTTTTCAGTATGTGACTTAGATAGACATGTGTGCAGGTTTCTAAGCATTCCCAGGTGACAGGAATGCAGAAGTCTACTTCACATGGCTAAGGTGTGAGGCTGTCACTCATGATAAGCACTTACTCTGATGCTAACCCTAGACTCACCTTATTCCACAAAATGTGCCATGAACTGTGAAAATGAAAAGCAATCATTTTCATCAATAGCTCTTTAAGAAATTAAAATATAAGTACTAGGAGAGCCAAGTGATTTTTTTTTTCAGTCCAACCTTCTCATTTTGTAGATAAGTAAACTGAGAGGATGTTAAATGATTTATCTAAAAGCCGAGAGCTGGCCAGCTTGGCTCTCCCCTCAAACACATCCTGGTTTTATTATCCAGTTACAAAGAACAGATCTTTTTGTCACAGAAACATCTCTAGAGACTAAAATATTTGGTTAACCCTGTTACACATACTCATACAGTATTAGACCAATAATACAATGAAGACATTAGGAGTATTTTGTGTATTAAATTAAGCAAGCAAAAACCTCACGACCATTTTTCTCACCACAACTACAATCATTTTATGCCATGAAAATGTTAACTATTTAACAGTAAAATTCAGGCATTGAGCCAATTCTCTTTCACTAATGTCAAACCTACAAATTGTAATTCCATATAACAACATGTGTAAAGATGTTACAAACAAGGAGAGCATTTGCTGAGCTGCAAGAAATAAATATAAAACCGAATACAGCATTTACCTCCATCTGCAGAGCTTCAGCCAAACCCTTGATGGCGAACTTGGACGAAGAGTAGGCGGTGAAACCGAAGAGTCCCACCTGTCCCGCCTGGGACGCCAAAAAGACGATCCTGCCCACCCGGCGCTCCTTCATGGTGGTGATCACAGCTCGGCTGGGGTACACGCTGCCCAGGTAGTTAATGCTCATCAGTTTCTGCAGGAAGCAAAGAGGCCATGAGGAATGAGAAAGGTCAAAGACACAAGACCGCACTCCTGGGAATTCAATCTGCCCCCCAGATTGCAGTTCTTCCATGGAGCCCAACCGACTGGGAACTCAGTGGATTTGATGAATGAACGAATGATTAAATGACCCTGTCGATGAACCATGATGCTCAGGATCTACTATTTGAAGTTTGTTTCAACCTGGTCTTGCATTCTCACCACGACCACAGTTCTGTCTTTGCTGAAAATGGGTTAAAACTAGTTTTCTCCTTGCAGGTAATATTTTTTGAAAAACAGTTTTAGGAGTAAGCTTCCAAATATGTCGAGCCCGTTAGTTCCAAGCTAAAGAAAGATCACAAAGAGCCTAGGACAGTGGTTAACAGCATGGATTATGGTTTGAAGACTGGGCTTTACCATTTACTACCTACTTGATGATAAGTAAGAAAGTCAAACACTATACTTATTTCTGCGGCTGAAAGCTGGGTTAAGAATAGTATTATCTCATAGCGCTTGCAAGGATTACAAGAGGAAACATAAGTTGGGTGCTAGCACAGCCCCTGATCCACAATAACTACTCAGTAAATGTTGGCTCTTATTTGTGATGGGTAAGACCTTACATAAGTATCAACAGTGTATTTCCTCTCATCCTGGGAACTCTAAAAAACCTTACATTTTACCTTGAAAATCTAAGACTACTTACATTAAAATGTTTTTATGTAAAAAATCTTGTACAAATATTAGATCTATCACCATATAAAACCAAACACTTCACTGGGGAACTTTGAGTCAATCATGAAATAACTCAATAGAATGTTAGATAACTTTTAGAAATAATGACCAGAAACACCAGGAGGGAGAATATTTATTCTGTAAGTTTAGAAAAAGCCAAGGGCAGACTGCATTTACACTGACTATAACTATCTCAAATAGTAAATACAAGCACATGTGCACAGGTAAAAACCAAGGAAATATACCAAAGAACTTATATGCATATATGTCTAACCCACAGACAATAGTGTGGTGAAGGCTGGGGGGAGGAAGGGGGTCTTGGGGGGGTGGGGAAAGACATCTATAATACTTTCAACAATCAAGATAAATTAAAAGCAAACAAATAAGGAAATACAGAAAATTATATGTGATTGTGTTAGGATGCTCAGATTTCCATTTTCCCCCAAATGCCTTTTTAAATCATTGTATTGTTTTAATAATAAATATTCTATGAAACAGTATTTGAAAAAAGATGGCACACTGAATCCAGAATCCAGGTGTTAACCTCAGCTCCCTTCAAAGACCCCACTAAAATTTCAGTAAAAAAATATTTCTTTTTAAAGGCAAGAACCCACAAGAGCAAAGAAAATAATAATAGTTTGGAAGTTGAAGAACAGAATGACAAGTGATAACTAGCTGAGCAGAAAGCAAAGAAACTAAAAAGAGGAATTGTAACACAGAACCCCCCAAAGGCTCCAGTATCTCTGGGAGCAGGAAGGGCGGGCATGGGACTGAAAAACAGGAGTATCAACTAAGAGTCTGCTTAAAAAGAAACAGTCAGATAGGCATATTCACAATTATAATCAGTGATTTCAACACCCCTTTTTCAATAGAACAAGTAAACACAAAAAATCAGTAAGGATACAGATTTGAACAATGTTATCAGCCAACTGGACCTAATCGACACTAGTAAAACATTCCACCCAAAACAGCAGAAAACACATTCTTTTCAAGTGCACACAGAATGGCTATAGGATAGACTATATTCTGGGCATGAGACAAGTCTCAATAAATGTGAAAAGAGTCAAGTCATACAAAGTGTGTTTGTTGACCACCATGGAATTAAATAGGAAATCAAGAAGAGACAGATTTCTGAAAAACACTCAAATGTTTGGAAACTAAATAACGCACTTCTAAATAACCCAAGGGGCAAGGCAGAAATGAAAAGGGAAAGTATAAAATATTTTAAACTGAATGAAAGTGAAAACACACATGATCAAAATTGGTGGATGCAGCCCTTGCCAATTTGGCTCAGTGGATAGAGCATCAGCCCATGGATTGAAGGGTCCCAGGTTCAATTCCGATCAAAGGCATGTACCTCAGTTGCAGGCTTGATCCCCGGCCCAGTCAGGATGCGTGTGGGAGGCAACCAATTGATATGTCTCTCTCACATCAATGTTTCTCTCTCTCCCTTCCCCTCTCTTCCACTTTGTCTAAAAATCAATGGAAAAAATATCCTCGGGTGAGGATTAACAGAGAATAATAAAAAAAACACTGGTGTGATGCTGCTAAGCAGGACCTGGGTGGAAATGCACAGAACTTAAAATCTGTATCAGAAAAGGAAAAAGGCCTCAAATACACCTTGAGCCTTGAATCTTTTGGGGGTTCTGTGGTACAATTCTTCATTTTAGTTTCTTTGCTCCTTGGTTAGACCTCAGCTTCCACCTAAGGAAACTATAAAAAGAAGAGCAAATTAAAACAAAAGTAAATAATAAAAATAATGGAGGAGGTAAGTGAAATAGAAAACAGAAAAACAATTTTTAAAAAATCAATAAAACCAAAAGCTGGTTATTAAGAAAAATCAATAAAATGGATAAATTTCTAGTCATCCTGGTCAGGAAAGAGAGAGGACACAAATGATTACTATCAAGAATGAGAGAGGTAACATTACTATAAACTCTATGGATATTAAAAAGATAATAATGGAATATGATGAATAACTGTGTCAATAAATTCAACAACATAGATGAAAGGGACAAATTCCCTGAAAGACACAGCTACCAAAAGCCACTCAAAAAGAATATACATATATAACTATATATATATATATATATATATATATATATATATATATATATATATATTTTAAAGTAATAAACCTTCCCACAAAGAAACCTCAGGCTTCACTGGTTCACAAACACTTAAGGAAGAATGATATCAACTTAATACAAATTCTTCCAGAAAACTGAAGAAAACAGTCCCTACTCAAAGGCCAGCATTACCCTTATTCCAAAACTAGAAAATAACATTACAAGAAAAGAAAAATATTCAAGAACTTAGAAATGATAAGATATCATAACCAAGAGGGATTTATCCCAGGAATGCCAGGTTGGTTTAACGTGTGAAAATTAATCAATGTAATTCACCATATTAACAAAATGAAAAAGAACTCTATGATCATCCCAATAGATCCAGAAAAAACATTCAACATCCAGTCCTTATAAAAACTCTTGACAAACTAGGAATAGAAGAAAATGTCCTCAACTTGATAAAGCGCATCTACCAAAAACACAACAACAAAACTATAGCTAACATCATACTTAAATGGTCAAGACTGAATGTCTTCTCCTAAGACTGAGGACAAGACAAGAATGTCTGCTCTCACCACTGTGCTACAAGTTCCAAACAGTGCAATAAGGGTGTCCAGAAGGCAATGTTAGAAGTAAAACTGTTTCAGATGATATGATCTTTGATGTAGAAAATCCAATGAGTACTAGAATTCCTAACTGAGTTCAGCAAGATTGTAAGATCAATAACCAAAAAAATCAACTGTCTTTTTCTACATTAGCAATGAACACTCAGAAACTGAAATTTTAAAGAATACTATTTATACTACATCAAAAAATAGGAAATACTGAAAAGTGATGTGTAAGACCCAAACACTGAAAACTACAAAACCTTGAGGAAAGAAATTAAAGAAAACCTATAGACTATGTCCATGGGTTAAAGACAATATTATTAAGATGTCAATTCTCCCCAAGTGGATCTATGGGGTCAATGTAATCCTAATCAGAACTGTGAAATAACTCTCATTAATATCCACAGGTAGAGAAAACAAGACACAGCTCCAAAAACCACAAAGAGAGGCATTAAAAGGGAAAATGAAGAGAAGTAAGCTGGAGGTCCCCAGGTCCACCTCCAGTTTTATGAATCACGGGAAGACCTCGCGTGACTCTGCACAGAGTTGTGCTCATAACTAAGATTTATTACAGTGACAGGCACAAAGCAAAATCAGCAAGGGCAAAAGGCACCCCGGGCAGAGTTCAGAGGACACCAGGGGCAGGTCTCCAGGCGGCCGCTGCCTGCAGTCACAAAGGGCGTGCGCACTCTCCCCGGCAATGAGTTGTGACGACACATGCAGTAGCGTGCACAGGCATCGTATGTGCGTGTGAACATCAGTAAAATTAAACTAACAACAAGAAGCCAAACAAAAGAAGTAACTGAGATAGAATTCATTTTGAATAAAAATGAACTCTTAGCTTCAGAAAATGCATCAAAAGTGGTGGTGTGTTCTCACCAGGCTCACTGATGGTAAGCCCCTACTTTGATCAGAACAAGGCAAGTCACTGAGCCCCAGATGGGAGGGGCAGAGTAGCCTTGGAAGGTGACAGTCCCCTGCTGCCTCCATTCAGGGCAGGCAGGGGAGGAAGGGACTTTTTGTAGGGAGACTAAGGACAGAGAGGGCCTCCTGGTCTGAGGCCCAATCACTGGAATAGAGGCCCCAGGTTTTGGGTTGATAGTCCTTCCTTTTTAGAAGGCCAGTTCTCACATCCAACATCCCCTAACAGCCGCTTGAATCTTTGTGCTGAATTGTTGCCGCCTCCTGCTAGCCCACACTCCGTGGTTGCCCAGTACTCTACCTTCATCCACTTCCCAACATCACTATTTCTTCACTTAGTGACCCCAAAAGCTCCTAAAAGTTGCCCTGTACAGTGGGGGATCCTTTAAAAATGCAGATCCCACCACTGCTTAGCCTAACTTAAAACTCTTGAGACATCTGAGACTAAAACGCTCAAGGCCCCAGCAGACCTGGCCCATGCCCCACTCTGCCCATCTCTGGGGATGCTCCAGCCACACAGGCCTGCCAGTCCATCCTTGGGTTTGCCAAGCTCCTCCCACCTGGGGCCCTGGCAGCTACTGGCTCTTTCCTGGTCCCTCTGTCCCCGTTCCCCAGGTCACCGACCCCAGCCCCCAGGCTGGGTCTCCATCCACACCACCTCACAGAGCCCCTCAGCCCGTTCCTTTCCCCACAGCACATACCCCAGTCTGAAATCACACTGCTATCTGCTTGCTCCTGTGGGGTCTTGCTACCTCACCCAGACTTTATCTTCTTGCTCAGCACGCATCCCCAGGACCCAGAACAATGCTGGGTGCACGAGAGGCTTTCTCTCAAGTATTTTGGGTTGAATGAATGAATACCTGGGAAAGGACATTAGTATTTGTAAGCAGCCACCATGGGCTAAGCGCCACGCACAGATTAGGTTACCCGGTCCTCACAGCTCTGGGAGCTGTCCACCCACTTCATGGAGATGGGAGCTGTGACCGGAAGAGAAAGACTGATCTGCCTGAGATCACACAGCTGGCAAATGGTCAGACTAGAAACCATCAGACCCAATACCTCAAACTGGCTCAGCCTGATGCCAAAGTCCACCTTTCTCTCTGCTGTGCCTGCTGCGGAACAAAGAGCAACAAAGTCATGTGGTGGCTGCCAGCGTGGAAAGATGCTGCAGGTGTGGCAAAGCAACAGATTGTGATTGGGTTGTTTTTTAAACAAAAGAGAGGGGTGAGAGGAAGAGGGAAGGAAGGAAGGAAGGAAGGAAGGAAGGAAGGAAGGAAGGAAGGAAGGAAGGAAGGAAGGAAGGAAGGAGGGAGGGAAGGAAAGGAGGGAGGGAAAACAGTGTGAATGGGAGACTGAAGGTTGAGTGCAAAGTGAATTTTTAAAAAAAATTAGAATTGTACATTTTTTTATGTTTCACAAGCTTCATATTACGGCATTGTTATTTTCCTTCTCTCTTCATCTCACCTGCTTCACGTTGTCTGCTTACCATGGATACCCAATACAGGCATTCCCCTGGTAGTGTACATAGTTTCTTTTACTCTTACTCACAGTTACATACCCCACAATACATTCACTCAGTTATCTTCCTACTTCCATCAGACACACAAACGTAAACCATCCTGACTCCCCGTCCCCAAGCAGGCACACCTGCTTCCTGAGGTCCCAGTTTTACAACAGTGCCTTCATTTATTATAACCCTGCAACCTATTCTACCTCAGTCCTCTGTACCCTCTACACCAGGGGTCCTCAAACTACGGCCCGCAGGCCACATGCAAATACAAATATTGTATTTGTTCCCGTTTTGTTTTTTTACTTCAAAATAAGATATGTGCAGTGTGCATAGGAATTTGTTCATAGTTTTTTTTTAACTATAGTCCGGCCCTCCAATGGTCTGAGGGACAGTGAACTGGCCCCCTGTTTAAAAAGTTTGAGGACCCCTGATCTACACTGTCAAGGGGAGTCCACTAACTGTCCCTCCATATCATCTTATACACACACACACACACACACACACACACACACACACTATTCCTCTTGTGCTGGCCACCTCTGAACTCCCTCATCATTTCATGCCAAGATCACTATTACAACTATTTCCCCCAATTGATTCTTCACACTGCTATTGAAATAATCTTTAAACCCCCCTTTGATTACCCACAGATAAAGGTATACTGGTCAACTATCATTACTTAGTTGATAAAGGAGCTTTAAGACTGTCCAGCCCCGGGTAAGGCACCAGTCTGCTAATATTACATCTGGACTCTCCCAACCTGACTTTAAATCAGAGTGCATGGTGCTTTCCCACAGTCCCCTGGGAGCAAGATATCTTAACTGCTGCTCCAACAGTCTCCTTTCCTACAGCAGATGCAATTTCACTTCACAGACAAAAGCATTCAAAACCCATGACTTTGATGAAGTTAGATAGAACATTAAGAAAAGATGGCAGATGCAATGTCAACTAAAAAACTGTTTCCCACTTAAAGAGTTCAGATCTGATGTCCATTTCTTTAGGGCTGAAATAAATGACAAGGAGAGGCTGCATGTCAAACCCGTTTTAAAAATGCAATCATAAATATGACACAGTATCGCTTTATTCTGATTTGAAAACTCTTAAAGAGTCTGCTCCTCAACTTTTTGTTTTTTCTATGTTAAAAATACAAACACTTGACATGAAAATCCAGAATCTCTCGGTTTATAAGGGGTTCTCTATCACCTCAGGGATACATCACAGTGATGTGTTGGAATGGAGGGTCCATTCCTGTTTTATAACTGGGGAAACCAAGGTTGAGAGACTTGTCTGAATCCTTAAGGCTAGACAGTCGTGGCGCTGGGACCAAAAGCTTGTGTTGCCTCCCTCTAGTCTCCCAAGGCTTCCAGGAAATCTGAACACACTTCATCTATTTCATTTGTAAAGCCTTGCTCTGCTTTAAATATATATATTTTATTGATTTTTCACAGCGAGGAAGGGAGAGGGATAGAGAGCTAGAAACATCGATGAGAGAGAAGCATAGATCAGCTGCCTCCTGCACACCCCGCACTGGGGATGTGCAACCAAGGTACATGCCCTTGACTGGAATTGAACCTGGGACCCTTCAGTCCCCAGGCCGACGCTCTATCCAGTGAGCCAAACCAGCCAGGGCAGCCTTGCTCTGCTTTTAGTGTACGGGCTATCTCCATGATCAAAAAACAAATTTTTACTTACTTCGAAAGTACTAACTTCAAGATCTTCAAATTTTCCTGAAATTGACATTCCTGCACAGTTTACAAGCATGTCCACTGGGCCCAGTTTCTCCTGTGCCTGGAAAAATGCATCAGAGAAGACATTAAGGAAGACAAAAGAAGAGTCACTCAGGAGCAAATCAATGCCAATAAGTAAAATCTATAAAACTATTAGACCTCTTAGGAAGGTTTACCAATTCCAAACCACCCAGCAAAATGGTAAGAACCAAACAAAAGGCATATGAATGAATTCCAATTAGCTCAGCCTCTTACTTGTTTTATGACATTCTCCACTTGGCTATAGTCTTGGGATACATCAACTGATATACAAAGCACCACCTGTTAGAAAGAGAAAGTAATGACTAAAGCTATGCAGGTATCTGAAACTATTTTTAAAAGTTTTGGAGGGGGTTTTTTAGTTTGTTTGTTTTTTAAATTAAAGGCAATTCTTTCCACAAGATAAGGAGTCCAATTTTGGATGTACCAGTTGCACTGTTTGAAATCTGTTGGCAATGCAATTAGCAGAGTCTAATTTTCTTGGCAGTTTTTATAGAAAATTGTTTCGAGCAAACTCAAAATCTGTTGACAATGCAATTAGCAGAGTCTAATTTTCTTAGCAGTTTTTGTAGACAACTGTTTTAAGCAAATGCAAATGTTGGTCAAAGGGTACAAACTTTCAGCTATAAAAGGAGTAAGTTCTGTGGATCTAACGTAGAACGTAAAGGCTGTCATTAATACTGACCTACTGTATACTTGACATTTGCTAAAAGAATAGATCTTAAGTGTTCTCACCACACACACAAAATAACTATGTGAAATCATGGATGCGTTAATTGATCGTGGTAATCATTTCACAATGTAAACGTATGTTAAATCATCATGTTGTACACTTTAAATACATATAATTTTTATTTGTCAATTATACCTCAATGTGGCTGGAAATAGAAAAAAAATGCTCCTCTTGAAATGCCACTACTCATATACAATAACAGAAACAGGTCATTGACCACCTGCAGTCAGGAGGGGAGGCAGGGGCGAGGGCCAACTCTGGGGGGTGCTGGAAATGTTCTGTCTCTGCATCTCGGTGGTGGTTTCACATGTGTGTACACCTTTAAATGGGTGTGGTTTATTGCACATAAATTCTACCTCAAGTTGTTATTAAAAAGACTACATACATTAAAGAATACATAAATCACATCTCAGGTTGTTAATATCTTAAGTTGCTAAAAAGAATAACAATAAATCTAACAAATAGGTCTAACAAATAGGTTTAAAGAATGACTTCCCTTGGAGTTGTGACTGCCCTGTTGGGACTGAATACCAGCCGGTGGAATACAGAGATAAGTAAACAATATCTACTAGCAGAAGCCACCTCAGCCTGGGCTCCTGCTCTGAGGCCGAGCCACAGGACATTATCATGGAGACCAAGGGTCAATCTGGGTCTGCAGGAGCTGAGCAGGGGCCAAGTCACATCTGGTTCCTTCTGAGATTTGCTTGAGATCCCTGCCTCTGGGATGACTGGCCACTCAACTGATTCTCTCAGCAAGGGGGCCACTGAGCCCAGCCCCGGAGCCCACCAGGTATAAACAGCCATGCCTGGGGGTGCGCAGCCCAGAGGGATGGTGGGAAGCCTCAGCCTGTGCTTTACTTTGGAAAACAAGTCCATTTAGTCTTTGAAAAGGAACAGAGTGAGGGAGAAAAGGGGGAGAAAGCATATATTCCGTGCTTACTTTAATAGAAACTTATGAGACAGAAATGAAGAACACTAATAGGGACAAACAATGAGCTTTTGTTTAATTTTCCTTTGTGGGTAATGTTTCCAAAGCAGAGCTTAGGTCACTGACATAGGAACTTCCATGTTCCCAGGGAGGTAGCAGAGAAATGCAGGAAGGTGTCCTTGGTTTCTCAGTCTTTCCATGAATTCTCCCGTGTTGACACTGGCCATCATGCTGAGGTGCACTCAGAGTATGTGTGTGGGTGGGCATGTAAGCACATCAGTGATATGCACCCACGTGTAGTGTGGGTACGAGGCGGTAGAAAGAACGTGCATGCACTTGGGAAGGCTGAGTTCCAATCCTGTCTCTTTATCAACTTCCGAGCAGAACCTGGGAAGGCTGCAGTGACCTCACCTGTGCAATAAGGGTGTCAGACACGCGATGACCAGGATCCCTCCCAGCTCTAAGAAACCATGTGTGAGAAATGAAGCTGTGACATGGGAGGTCAAAGAGATGAATAAAAAGAGACCAATGGCTGTAGGGTTTTCAGGCAGAAAGTTTTACTTAATGCAAGGAACCCCATCCAAATGAATAAATTCCTAAGGAAAGAAAACACCCCCTTCGAAAATGTGCCCTGGCACATTCCAGACTCAAGGGATTGCCCTGGACTTTATCCCTGTATCATCACAAAGAAAACAATTGTTTAAAAAGGGAGTAGGAATCATGGAATTAATTTTTAAACATGCCTTTTTATGCAGGATTGGATCATTTACTATACTAGTAAATAAAACCTATACCACAGACAAGTGACATTTTTTTAAATGTTAATAAATGTTATACATACTAGTATATATATATATATAGACTCCATTTTATCTATCAAACAATTCCATAACCCAGAAATATTTTTAAATGCCCCCTTCCCCTTAAGTGTTGGTATCAAGTTGACTTAAATAAATAATTGAAATAAAATCATTTTCCAGCAAAGTATTTTGTTATTTTGATGGTTTGTGTGTGTGTGTATATGTGTTAGAGTCTATATGTTTTTGTCATAATCTGGAATTCCAGACAATTCCAGCAGTTTCACCTTTTTCACAACAGTCTAGTATGTATTTTAATTAGAAAACTCTCACATCTTCCAGTAAACTATTAAGAACTGAAGAATCCCTTTTTCCCCTTTATGCACCTGTGTTGATTCGTACAGGAAAGGCAGCAGGCAGACAGTGGTTTTACCTGTTTGTCATTAATACAGTGCTTCTCAATTTCTTTCTTTGCCTGCAGCAGCCTCTCCTGAAAGCAAGAAAGAACTATTAGTTCTGGCGATTGTCTACTCATCTGCTTGTTTGTTTAAAAGGAGAGAAAAAGTAATTATTTGTGTAAGTACTCATTAAATTCTAGAAAACACGAAGACAACACCGATGTTGCGCAGGGATGGGCCACCATCGACGAAAAAAAGAAGCTGTAGCATACGCTAAGCTATGGCTAAGCAATAGCAAGTTTTTAAATTCATTGTATAGAACGATAACAGAAAAATAAATGAACTCCAAAAATCCCAATAGACCGTATTAATTGTTGACGGGCACCCGACCAGTTCTAATCAATGTTTTGATCTGACATTTGATATAAACAAGAACAACCATGTGGATATGCAATTAGGGTACATGTGATTCCATGTCGAGAGATCACCCAACATGTCCCTCCGCTGCTATAAAAGCAAATATAGAAAAATCACTTTTTAGATGGACCAGGTAAATCCATGCCTGGCTACTCTCACAATTACTCTTTAGACCAGCAAAGCTGTCCATGGAACAGTAATTCTTCCAATATCTCATTTTGCTTGTTTCACGCATTTTCAAGAAGACAAATACCGGTCTACAGTGTCTTCCTTTGCTCTAAAGCATGCAATTTAACCCTTTGAGTGCCAACCAGTATCCTAGGAACTATGCTAAAATTGCCAAGGCATTTTTGCTGATTTTACAGCAGTTTAGGAAAAAAAATATGAATCGCAAGTAAATGAAGTTACATATTCAAAAACTTAAGGAAACCTTTACTACACTGACATATTTAGCAATATCATCATCACTAATAAAAGCAGACTTAGAACTGGACGCCATTTCGAAGCTTTGATAGCGCTCCCGGCACTTTTGGCGAAAGACAGGAGGAGCGCGATCGCGCTCCCTGGCACTCAAGGGGTTAAATAGGCCGTGACAGCAGAAAAGCACAAAAGGGAAGGCAATCCTTTGGAAAGACACACCTGTTTTCTAAACATGAATGTGTCTATAGTAAAATAATACTGTTCTGTGAATCAATATATGCACAACTCAACTTTGCGAAAATCAGAATAAAATATTACATCAGAAAATCAAGGACTTCTGGAGGCCAGAAAGCTCGTCTGCTCCTCGTTCACCTCCAGGCACACAAGGACCACACAATGAGCTTCTGAGCACCCAAAATGCGGGCCCCCCCTGCCCCCCTTTCCATCTGCCTCGAGTCAAATACAGGCAATGTTTAAACCTCACAAAATGCCTTTTTATTAAAGTCCTGTTTCCATTCCTGTAAGGTGCATGAAAGTCAAAGCAAACTCACTGTTAGAGAAGTCAGCAGTATACCTTTTATGTATATCCTGCCTTTCTTGATTTTAAAAAGAAACAGTGGATGTCCAAGCCTAATTCTGTATCACTGTTTAAACGTTTCCCCCAGAGGCCCCTATGGCCGGCCACTCCCACTGAGGCCTGCTCACCTGTGCACCCCCTACCTGAGCAGTCGCGGTACTCCTGCTCTCCCTTTGCATAGGGGCATCCCAGTGCCCAGGCACCGATGCCACGCTGACGTTCCCATCCCCTCTATCATCCCCTTCCCGTCTTCACTCAACAATGATGTCTGAGCACCCGCTGTGAGCCAACTATGCCGGGCACAGAACAATGGCCGTGGACAATACAACCCTGGTCATTTCCCCCACCCCACGGAGAAAGGGGGACTCCCCCACTGTTTGTGCGAACAGAGTGGCACTGCTTCACAGGGCATGGAAGCAACTTTGGCAAGAACAACAGACCTTGTATCAACTGAACACAGAAAAACAGGTGTTTAGCTCAATTGCTGGGGAGGAGTGAGATTCCTCAGTGCGGTCTGGTTTCACTAGAGATGTGCATCCCGTCATAAGCAAATGAGAAACATCTACATATCCTATCAGTGCCACCAATGCTCCTGCCGGCACCCCCAGTGAGCGGAGGGCCCTCCAGGCTTCCTGTGGCCAGGTGTACTGCCTAGCTTCCTCTTGGCCTCTCCCACCCCAAAATCCGCAGCGTCCATGGTGTTGCCTAATCGTTGATGGCACTAAATATGTATTTGTGGAGCTGGTCTGACTTTGACCAAGAAACTGCCCTGAATATGAGAAATAACCGTGGTTCAGGAAGCGTACCTCAAACTGGAGATTTCCAGCGCAGGTGTCGACACCAGGACGTTTGGTACAACCTCTTTGATTAATTTAAAGTTGAATGAGTTACTAATAACGTACCTAGAAGACTTACCTCATTTCGTGCAACCAGAGTTATGAATGCGCCTTGTTTGTAGCACTCGATAGCAATGCACTTTCCAATGCCACTGGAGCCTCCTGTCACCTAAAAGTAAAAAAAGTCTTCTTAGCACTTGGCATTTCCCTTCTGTTGAAAGCTCATCTAAAATAATTATGATGGGCTCTAAAAACCAATAGGAAAACTAAATTTTTAGCTACTGTTGCTTCTTCATCCCAGACTTTATGAGTGCAAACATGGAAGATTGTACCATCAGCAGGGCCTGCTGTCATTGTCCCCAGCACTGAACTATATATACACTGCACACCTATACCTTTTCCTGAGTTCACTGGAGGGAAAGTGTCCTGTAAATCTAGCTAATAAATAATACATTAGCCCTAAGTGCCCATCAGTAGATGAGTGGATAAAGATGTGGTACATGTATACAATGAAACATTACTCAGCCATGAAAAAAAATGACATCTTCCCATTTGTGACAGCATGGATGGACGGAGGGGTATTACACTAAGTGAAATAAGTTAGACAGAGAAAGACAAATACCAGGTGAAAGAGCATTATATAAAAATAAAATAATATAAATGAACAAAACAGAAACACACTGGAAGATGTAGAAAACAAACTCATGGTTGTCAGCTGGGAGGAGGGTTGGGGGACTGGGTGAAAAAAGTTTAGGAATTGCGAAGTACAGATTGGTAGTTACAAAATAGTCACAGGAATGTAAAGTACAGAATAGGGAATATAGTCAATAATATTGCAATAACTATGTATGGTGCTAGTGGGTACTAGAATTATTGGGGCATCACTTGGTAAATTATATAAATATCTAACCACTATGCTATATAGCTGAAACTAATCTATATATATAAAAGGTTAAGTGACCAACGGTATGTCCCTCCGACCATACGTCCCTCTGACTGAACGTCTCTCCGACCGACCAGCCGGTATATATGACGTGCAGTGGCAATTTAAAAATAAACGTTGACTCGCGCATGTGCAATACATATAAAGCTCTCACTGACACCAATCTAGACAGAGTAGGAATATTCCTACCTGAACCCGTTTTCAGACATGGTCAGTTATATGTGCTTTCTCTCAAGTTCGAAGAGCATGTGACGTTAAAGTTAAAGTTGTAAATACTTCATCACAAGGGAAATTAGTCATGCACTCTGAAGGTGTTTTTACTCTTAATGTGGTATACAGGGAGATATAAGAATAAGTTTAATCCTGCCTACCCTGCAGGGGCCAGCTCCAATTTCACTTCCTCCAATCAGCTCTTCCTGTCACTCAGTCCCATCCTTTACCCGTCACTTCTATCTTGTGCACAGTTACTTATGTACATGTCTTAGTCCCCCTGCCAGACTGTAAGTCCCTTGAGGACCAGTACCCACTCCAATGTACCTCCCTCATTCCTAGCCCAGTGCAAAGCATAAGCAGCTTCAAAATAAACACTTGCCTACATTCATTTGCAGAATGGTGTATTGTGCTATTCCTATGACAGATACAATGACAAGAACACTTTTAAGTAAAATTTCCTATTTGTTATTCAATGAATGAACGGAAGTTATGAAGAAAATGTATATGCTGTAAAGTGCCATGTTGATATTAGCTGTTGTTATTATTGCTGTCTTTTTCTAGACTGTAATAAGTAAGCTAGCTGTGTGAAATTACCGCACAGCAAAGAACTGTTCGACCTGATCACTTCTAAGATTTTTCCATAAGAACAAGAGTAAGACTTCAACTTTTGGGTCATGCTTCATGGGAAACTAAACCCCCAAGCAAGCCAGCTAATTCTTAGACGGTACCTAAGAATAAGCCATTTCTAGGCTATAATATTCTGAAAGTTATAAGCAAATATGAGAGATCTTCAAGATGGCTGAGAAAAATGGTAACTGTGTACTGAGTTGCCTGACAAATGGCAAACAGAGCCCAGATGTGGGACACTAAAGATAAGTTTGATTTCCTTCCTTTATCATTCCCTCTTACTATTCATTGGAAATTCTATTTAAATGTTACTAACTTTAGTCACACCCCACCCCTCTTATTGAAGGCAAGAGGGGGGAGGGTGTTACAAGGAAAGTTGCTCCCAGCCATCTCCAAAAAAAGGAAAACTTGATTTTCCAGTACACAAGTAAATTAAACAGCTTTTTAAATATAGTTTTATTGATTTTTTTACAGAGAGGAAGGGAGAGGGATAGAGAGTTAGAAACATCGATGAGCGAGAAACATCGATCAGCTGCCTCCTGCATATCCCCCACTGGGAATGTGCCCACAACCAAGGTACATGCCGTTCACTGGAATCGAACCTGGGACCCTTCAGTCTGCAGGCTGACGCTCTATCCACTGAGCCAAACCGGTTAGGGCAATTAAACAGCTTTTTAAAAACCAGCTGATGTACAAGAGTACATACCCTGTAAGACGCCTGCAATTAGGGAGATAACACTAGTATGTAAGAATTGTTTTAAAAAGAGAAACAGTAAATAATTATGGCCTAGTCTGTTCATGCTTCCACATAAACAACCATGCCAAACGCCAGCTCCCTTTCCTAACACCACCTGGTCTAGTCCTAACAAATCTCAAGAAAAATAAGTTTTCGCTCTCCTAATAACATTAAAAAGGAGGACAGATGGTGACAGATGTGAATTATTCATGTCACCCTCACATCGCTTATAAGGGCGTTTTAAAACTAGACAGTGAAAGTAAGAAACTCCTCTTGGTCCCTCCCAGGCTTGTCTGTCACCTTACCGACCAGCGGCCTGCAGCATCATGGGGTGGAAGGAGCAGAGTCAAGGTTAAGGGAAACTCTCTTCTAGACACTGACTCAAATTTTTCATCCATGCATCTGGCTTTCCCTTTTTCCAAGTTACGCTCTGCAAACATAAGTTCTGAAAGAATCCAACCTTTAAAGCCATGCGATGGTGGCAGAAGTTATCATGCGGATGGATGTGACACCTTCAGGATTTGGCACGACTGTAAAGTTTTGCACCTCTCTCTTTCTTGCTCTCCCTCAAAGAATTTACACTCACCTCCTCATCTATCTTCCACATAGGGAAGCGCAGGAGTTGGAAATTCACGAATTGTTTTACAAAAGAGAACTTAAAGGAAACACCTTTTCTCATTCCCGAAGCTGGTCCAGATTTAAAGCCCACGACAAGAAATGGCCATCCTGTCCTATGGCACACGGCTCAGTGGGGAGGCTCGAGTATGTCACCTCGGGCACCAGGAGGATCTGTGCCACCAGCTTAGTCCCTACCCATAACCTCCCGCCTCAGTGTGCACCCCGGGGTGGGGAAATTCAAAGCCGCCGCAAAAAGCGAGGTGCTGGGCGCAGGGAAGGTGGCATTCTCAGTTTAAAAGAAGTGCTACACCTGCAGAAAGGGAATCATTGAAGGCACGAGCTTCCGGTAAGAAACAAACCAAACCCATCCACAGCCCTTTCACTCCTAAAGCGCCGCCAGGTGGATCGGACTCCGATGCTGCCACCGGGTCGCCCAGGAACCGCCATCAGCCGACCCCAGGCTGAGCTGCCAGAGAAACCATCAGTGTAGACGGGGCAGAAGCGTCCCGGCACCTCCCTCCGGCCAGGGCTGCCGGCCCACTGGGCTCGGCCAGTTTCCCCCAAGTGAGTCACCCCCTGGATGCCTTTGGCAACCGCTCGGTCCGCCTCTCGCACAGGCCAGCTCCCAGCTCCCAGCTCCCAGCTCCCAGCGCCTCGGCCCCTCCTGGCGGCAGGGACTCCCTCCCCGCCTCTCTCCCCACTCCCCCCACCCTGCCCCCGACCACGGTGTCCTTGACAAAGTTTCTCAGCCTCTCCGTTGACTGCCTCCTCGGGAAAACTGAGGACAAAAACAGCCCCATCCCGGGGATGCGCCGGGGTCACCGCGCGGTTCCGGCCCCCGGAGCACCGGGAGGAGCCAGCTGCGGCGAGCCGGTCCCCGAGGGCCTCGGCGCGGCCGGTGCCAGGTGCACAGCCAGGTGCACGGCGGC